AAGTAAAAAGATGGTCGTCAAAGAAAAAGGAAAAGATATCAGTACCCCAACCGAAGCTTTTTCAGACATACAATGCATTCATGGGAGGGGTGGATCTTTTAGATCAGTCAGTCAACGGTTACCGTGTTGCGATACATGGCAAAAAGTGGTGGTGGGTTCTTTTCACCCACATGATAAACGTCACTGTTGTCAACGCATGGAGACTATACCAACTCGCTTTCCCACAAGACCCTATGGACTTGCTATTATTTCAACGAAATGTTACCCGTCATTACCTACGGTCTTATAACAAGTCAATTCAAAGAAGATCAACTTCAAGTCGACCATCCGGTTCATTACCTAGGAGTTTACTGGACGATCCAACAGGCCACTTTCCCAAAAAATTGTCGAATCAACTACGTTGTAGCGTATGTCACAGCAGAATTAGATGGGCTTGTGAGAAGTGTAATGTTACTCTTTGTATTGAGAGAGACTGTTTCAAGATATTTCACACGCGGAAATAATTCTTGTCATATCGACTGACTTTTTAAATACATATTTTTTTTGTTGATTTTTATTCTATATGTGCCCGATGTACTCATTTGAGTACACCATTTTTTTTCTTACGTTTTAGGGAAATAAGTTCAAAATAAAGCATAAATGACAAAAACAAACTGTATTTGACAAGATTCAATCATAAATAATTATTTTAATCTTTCACAAGCTTGGTGGGCATTAATGGGTTAAGTGAACTGTTAGTGAAAGTTTATGCCAGTATAGAGACTAGTGACAAGATTTACGTTGGAAGGAATGGAGCAACTGCTGCAATTATTGCAAGAATTGAAAGCCGTTCAAGATGAAATGAAAGCCAGTATGTAACGGGAGAGAGCTTAGGCGTCGGCCGCTAACATTTTTTCGGAAATCAGATTTCATTCAGTGTAGGGAAATTTATACGTTTGCCGCATGATTTGCGTACGATTCCAGAACACCAACACCAAATTGTGTCACTGTATAGAGATACACATTTGCAGCACGTGTATTACGCCCTGTTAAAGAACCGAACGCACAAATCAAGAGAAACTTTGCAAAAACTCGAAGCCGATATAGCCCGGTTGATAAGATCGGCGTATCCCACGTCTCCCGAAAGCTGAATAGAACACCTGGCGGTGCAGACGTTCATCGATGGTGTTAGCGACGGGGAAACGCAACGAGCTGAGAAACTTGCGCGACATGAGAATTTGGCAAAGGCTTTGGCGCATGTCCTGGAGTTTGATCCTGTGAAGGAAACGTCTCGTGGTACCTAATTAATGCTCGCGTGCACACCATTGGTACAGAAAAAAAGAACGAGAATCCAGAAGAGATAGTGAACAGATCGATGCAGTTTTAAAACAGTTGGAGCAGCAACGGACAAAGACGATGATGGACTGTGATCAGCAGGGGCTGATAAAACGGACATATTAGAAGAAACTGGCCCAACAAAACAGCGACCAATAACCAGGAAAACTAGTACGGCTCGATGGGAAGGGGCGTCCTTGGAGAAAACGTGTACGATGCTGTTGCATACAGGTGCAACGAAGACCATTGTAAGACCTGGCCTACACTGGAACAAAACGCTACAACCGTCAAAACTGAGGCTGAAGACTCAGGAAAGGTACGCATCAAGTTTTGGTAGCACACATCGTCGATGAGGTGACTTTGGGAATGGACTTGAGAAAATTCCGGTTTACGATGGATGGAGAATGGAGTACTTCGAGTGGAGAATGAAGAAGTTCCTATATTCACAGTGAAGGAGACGAGCTGCTACGTGTAACGCTGGTGGAGGATGTCACACTGCCGGAGTGTTGCAGAAAGTTGTGATGGCTCGCACGGATGAAAATCACCGGGAAAACTGCTTAGGGTGTGATGGAACGCAATTATACCAATATGGGTCGAGGCATCTTGATTGGCAAACTGCTAGTTAATGATAAACAACTAACGCCTGTTCGACTGATGAATTTGAATACATTCCCAACCAAGTTGAAGAGGGGCACAAAAATTGGGACGTGTGCCCCAGTAGCTGCAGTAGTGCGCTGCATGGATACAGCCAGGAATGATGACACTTTGGAGTGCCCAGATAGGCTTGACATCAAGCCAAACCCCTAAAGAGAAGCGGACTTCGTGTTGGATACTGACGCTAGCAATGTTGGAATAGGTGCTGTACTGTCCCAAATGCAGGATGGGAGGAGAGAGGCATCGCGGATATTTCAGTAAAATATCTTTTCTAAACCGGAACGCAATTACTGTGTCACCCAAGGGGACTACTAACCGTCATTAAGTCAATCGAACATCTCCATAGACCTTAAGTATCTGCTGTACGGACATAAATTTCTCGTAAGGGCCGACATGCTGCATTGCGATGGTTATTGCAATTTAAAAGTCCAGAAGACCAAGTGGCTAGATGGTTGGAAAGACTGCAAGCGAGGTACCTACGACTTTGTGACAGAACACGGCGCAGGGCGAAACCATTCGCGTAATGCAGATACCTTATCCAGAAGATCATGTGGGAATCGTACGGTTAGAAGATGGTTTTCTGAAGAGAGTTGTAGAAAATGATGATGGCCAACCACAACTGTGCAGCCAGTGATACCGGAGAGCAAGAAATCTGAAGTACTAAGACAGATGTACGATGGTGTATATCATCTAGAAGTGACGCAAACCAGCGTTAAGGTGCGAGCGCGATTCTACTGGATAAACCGCAAACAAGATGCGCAGAAAATGTGAAGTCTGTGCCACAAGCAACGGACCAGTAAGCAAGAAGAAAGCACGGATGAGGCAATATAACGTGGGTAGTCTGTTTGAAAGAATACCTAGCTATTAATATCTCAGGCCCTTACCCAGAGACATCCTCTGGAAACAAATACATCTTGGTAGCCATGCATGGACTATTTCAGCAAATGGACTGAAACGTATGCTCTACCAAATCAAGAAGCGACAACTGCGGCAGGCGTTCCGGTTTTTTAGCAGATTTGGGGTACCCTTGGAACTACACTCTGACCAGGGCGGAATTTTTGAGTTGCCGTTATTCCAAAACCTGCGTCAACTATTGGTAATTCGCAAGAACAAAACCTCCGCTTTAAACCTACAGTCAGACGGAATAGTAGAATGCATGAATAGGGACAATGGGAAAGTACCTACTTGTCAAAGGTTGTGTCCGATCACCCGCGGGGTTGGGATAAATATCTGCATTTGTTCCTGATGGAGAACCGTTCTGCAGCACAAGAAGCTATAGGAGAGCCCAGCCCCGTGTTGTTTGGCAGGGAACTCTGGTTGTCGTGTGATTTGAAATTTGGTACAAGACCCGGTCAAGAAGAAACCGTGGAGACAGAGTTTGTGGAAAACCTGCGTCAGAAATTGGGTGCAAACCATGGTAAGGTTCGTCACAATATGCAGAGATGGCTAGCGATAGTATGAAAGCATGCCGTACGGCGTGAAGGCCCACGCTTGTGGTTATCAACCCAGAGATCTGGTTTGATTGCATCGTCGCAGAGACGGCGCGGGCTATCCTCGAAATTACATGAGCTTGGGAAGAACCGTATGCAGACGTAAAGCGAATAAACGACTTAATATATCAGATACTGAAACAACCACGAGAAAAACCAGTGGTAGTGCACATAAATCGGTTGGCATCATACGCGGGACAGAACGAGCCCGAGGAACAGGAAGTAGAGAATGTAATGCAAGTGAAACCACAAGGATCCACTTTCGCACAATTTATGGCACATTACTTGGGAACTCGAAGGGCATGTTTTGGTGTTGTCCGTGAGGCACCTAAATATTTGTTTGAAGTCCAGCGCAATACGCTTTAGCCACTGCATAGCCAAGGATGTCAAGATGACCAGGGTGTTGCCGTAGAACTCAAGTTCCGATGTAGGCGCTTAAGAAATATCTACCTTCAAGGACCCCGAGATTGGTTAATCATATTTCTTACAGGAGCAAGGACTACTTATTATTTGGTAACAAAAGACCAGTCCAGGAATAAGTCGAATTATGTAGATTTTTGGAATGCGGTACAACACTTAAAACAAAAGCTAGAACTCGTGGCGTTAAGAAGGTGGCAAATCCGAAGATCGGATACGGTCTTATGAACTGACGCATCGTACCCAACATGCTGGAGGTGATTTTCCAAAGCACTGGAATGGATTTATTTGTCCGCTGTTTCAACCCCACACCGAAACCTCGCAACCGTTTCCTGGACGGTTGATTGTTTCTCCTTCAAGGAGCAAAAAGGTGCCGTCATGCAGGTACAGCCATCAAGACCTCGTTATATAACAGAAGTCGCCTGGAACTGTGTCTTCACTATAACCATCGTCCGTGTTGCGAGACGAAAGTTTTAAGAGGGGGGCAGTGTAGCAAATATTCAAGAATTCCGGTCAGACAATGAAAGAAGCGAGTCATTGGGAAGCATGTAACGTAATCTTTCTACTAAAATGACATGTGAACGTTCTAGTGGGTTCGCGATGGCTCGGGCGTTTGCTATATAAGCGCGACGAGGCTATATTTGGAAGGTTCTATATGGTTACGCTCAAGTGAAATACCGTGCTCGTAAGTGACTTGTGAGTAATAAATAGGTACGTGTCTGTTATAAATTAATCCATTCTGTTATAAATTCATTAATTAACTGTAAATAAATATATCACACAATTAAATTTACTTTTCAATATTCAAAATTACTAAATTGTAACAAAATCTTGAAATATTACCGTCCAATTCATGTGTTAACACTTTAAACTAAGATTTTGATTTCATAAAAATATCAAACCTCAAAACCAATAAGCTCTTTTGTGGAAACTGTATTGGAAGGTACTAAAGCAGGCCATTAAACAGAAAACTGTTAAATCTAATGTATTTAAATTTTTACAAAATGTTCAGGTATAATTTAAACTATTTCTTGTAAAATAAAACAAATTAGGTTCATTCATACTAAAACTAAGACAAAAATGGACATCCTGACTAGGTAGTATATTATATTACCACACTATAATTTACAAGTCTCGATAGTTATGTCTTAAATACTCCCTTATAGCTTGATAGAGTATGATTCCATTATTGCCATCGTCATCTAAAGCATTTGGTACTAACTCTGTGATCTGCGCTATGTGTTCTTCTCTTAAAACAACTTCACAATCTGGTATTACCACATGATTTGCTGTTTCTATACACACGAGCGGCCCCATGTTGTCTACTCCATAGTCTTCCCCATTTAATATATAGTTCGGGTCTTCCAATGCATTGAAATGTTCACCGGTTAGCATTGCAGCATTCCACAAATAGAAAGGCGATCTGGAGTGCATTGTGGACAAACCATGATAGTTCCATTGTTGAACAAACTGGTTTAAACTTTGCCGTATACGTGGTAAATATATGTGACATAAACAAAATAAATCAATCTCACTGTTCTCATCTAATAGTCCTTGATCTTCCATATAGTAAAACAGTTCTTTAAAATGTTTGGTCACTATTCTATTAACTTCTGCCCATAGCCTTTCTATTCGTTGATTGTGAACAGAACGGCCAACCAAGAAGCTCCCTCGATTCATGCCTCGCTGCTCAATCATATATCGTGCTACTGATATGTTTTCTGTTCCACGATCGCCGCGAACTCTACTGGGTAGTCCAAATTCAGTTACACCTTTTTGAAAACAACTTAACACACTATTGGCTTTGTTGTTAGTTAAACATTCCAAGTAAATAATAGCTCGACTGAAACCGTCAATACACCCATGGTATACAAATCGAAAGTTTACTAGTTTATGATTGGAATCAATGTGCCTAAAAAGTTAATAATCAATACAAAAGAAATTCTTCAATGATTACCATAAATAATTGGCGCCTTGTACTTTGTATACTCTTCTCTTTATTGCAGATCTTCTTCTAAGCTCTCTACCCAATGGATCTATAGTACTAATGTGCTCTCTAACTCGCCAACGTTGAACAAATATATTTTTACTTTTTAAGCTACCTAGTACATAGGTTTCACCCGCATTGGGTGTTTCTTGCAAAATGCCTTCTATAACTGCTTTCAAGTCATGATCATCCACCATATGATCACTTATATTTAGGCCTTTTCTATTTCGAAATAAAGTGCTCCTTGAAACCCTTAAAAGTTTTGCCACGTCCTTCCAACTATTACAATACTTTCTGATGTGCACAACTTGCTCATATGTTATAATCTTGCTAGGTCTTCCCACAAAACCACTACTTTGATTGGGACTAGAGTAAGCTACATGTTCCGATGGAACTGCAAAAAAAGATAATACAGCTCATTGCATTCCGAGATTGCTTCATAAATCATATCGTTAACTAGACAAGTCCCTAATGTCAGGCTGTCATCATGTCATGTGGCTGTCGAGTCGCCTTTGGAAGTTCAAGTTATTTACGGTTTTGCATGTAAACAAAAATTCCAAAGGCGACTCGACAGCCACTTATTTTTCATCGCATTGTAGGTATATCATGGTGTAGTTGGATTTTCCTTAGTTGCACCCGTGAAACACAGTATAAGGCAAGCCATACACGTGAAGGTGTCCCGCAGAGCTTTACCTATATTGTTCGCCTCCAGAAGGAAACCTCGGCGTGTGTGCCACTCCCGTGTGATAAAACTCTGGGGGTCGAATTGACCTCTGGAGTGGAATTGAAAAAATATATTTTCTACAGCTGGGGGTCACCAGACCTGTGCGTGTGTGAGGGTATGAGCTTACCACAGTCAGTTCACCGTGCCTTCTGTGCTAAACGTACCTATACATATTTGAATTGAAGAATCAAGTACTTTGTCGGTGGAAAATTAGAATAACGGAGATTAATGTTTTAAAATTAATATGCATTTGCCATAATTTGCTGTCGTATCATTTGAATTTTAATTTTATCAATATTAGCAATTTTTGGTATAAAGCTTTGTCCATTCTCAAGTAGTTGCGATAATCTGCTTCCTCTTCCCTCAACTCTTGTAACAAGTCGACATGACTGTACTGATTTTTTTTATAATAACCAGTCTTTACTTCATGTTTTTCGGCGCTCCCTGTTAATTATACCACTAGTTGCAAACACTAAACCGACAACTGCGATGGCGTCGTCTACTCGTGTAAAAGCCACGAGTTCAACTGACAGCAGAGGTTGACAGCTACGTGAGTGAGCTCCTCGCTTCAAGAGGTAAACCTTTGCTGTTCACCTCTGGGGTGTACCTCTGCAGTAGGTACACCTCCACATCTATAGCAAGCCTTATTCTCGCCAGCAAAGAATGCAGGTCACAGAACACCTTATGTCGGTCTACAATCTATGTTTTCTAAAGATGGGAGCGGCTTCCGGGATAGGATTGTGCCAATGTTGAACAAAAAGGCTTTTCGTTTAACATTGACACAATCATAAAGACATACTTCTCCAATATATCAATTTTTGACTGAGATTATTACAAATTAGTGTACCTAATACTAGCTATGCCTTTTACTTATTTGTAATAGATACCTACCATCAATCATGTTTACAAACTTACCATCTAACAAGTTATCCAGTTTCACAAACATATCATGAACAATATTGTACAGGTTAATTAATAAATTTTGCAAATTGTCTGTAGTGTGGTTTACCAATACCAATAATATTCGACAGTGTGTTTCTAATTTCTGCAAACATTCTGTTATTGTTTGTTCATTTCTATTAAATTCTTGATTAACACTCTCTTGATAATCTCTGGCTAGATCCTCAAAATAGGGTGTAACATTATTATCCATAGCTACAAATGGAAAAATAAGTATGTACCTACATTTAGGAATATTATGGATGCAGTTCTCCATACTAATTTGTAGGAACATTTATGCTGGTATATAGTTATGCACATATAGGTAAATAAAAAGTTCATTAATTTTCTTTAGGCTATTGATTCAACATTCACACACATCATCAGGACGAGCTTCACATTATGGATGAAAATAATATTAAAAGTTGCAGATGACATGGGACTGAAATGACATACAACGAGTAATTAAATATATTATTTTTTATATTATATTATATTTTTATTATATATATATATATATATAGTATAAATATTACATTCAATAAAACTCACCTGCATTAATGACGAACGAATAGTTAATTATTTATTTTATCTTGCAGGAATAAGAAAAGAAGAATTTCTTCCACTCGAAATTTGAAAATATTATTCTTTAAATAATAAATATAAAATAGATATATTATTTTCCCAATATTTATGAAATATTGTACTAAGGTTGTATATATTGCTGTGTGCACCGGTCCGTAGGCCAAAAAGACCGTACACAAAACACCTAAACAAACCTAGCTAGCTCAAACCTTTATCTTTCTCGGAACAAAACTTCTCCCCAGCACAGAGGAGAAATTCGACTCTTTTCTCAGTTAAATTATTAACTTCTACCAGATAGTGGGTTAGACCAAATACCTTAAATTCCAAATCGATCTTAAGAATTTTGATTAAATAAAATGGACCTTGGGCAAGTATCCAAAGAAAACAGTAAATGAAAGGAAACGAATGACATACACAGCAATTATTGTGAAAATTACAAAATTCAAATTTAATTGTCACACACACAATGAAAAATATTACAAGAGACACAAACAATTATTACAAAGAAAAAAACAAACTAAAATTAAAACTTAATTTTACTTACATTCGGTACATGTCCAAAACTGCTAATCCAAATACGTTACACACAAAAAAAAACAACAACATTTCAAAATTACACAAAAAACACTCAAGTCGGCGCCGACCACCCCTTAGTGACGCACTTTACTGAAGGTCCAAACTTCCAAAACTGCCGCAACTCTGCTTGCCACTCCGTAAACCGGAAACTCCACCAACTTCCAATGCTGGCTGGCCTCTACACAATCCAAACTACTGCGGTAACTCGCCGAAGCGAACTCAAAAACTGCCCTGACTGGCAACAAAACTGACGATAAAAACTTCACAACTCCAAAACAAACTTCAAACTTCTGCAGACGTGGATCTGCTCTCAACTTGGCAAAAGGCGATTTAAATTTCAACCAAACGTAGTTCTGCGTTGAACAGTGGCAAAAAGCCCTTCCTCTTCTCAGTCCGTTCTATTTAAGGTGGAAACCCTTCCAAATTACAAATTAAAACAGCCAATGATAAGCAGTTGACAACAGAAAATTTCCCCCCTAACGCACGTTAAACCAGAGGTAGAAATGATTTTTACAATCAATTTTTAACCGACATTAAGAGATAACACAAAAATTAAAATACTAGGAAAAATAGAATTTTCTGTCTTTTAAATACAAAGACAAGGCGATAAATAACATCCACCTGTCAATTAAATTAAGCGTTTACAATGATAACAGAATAAAAGTGAAATAAAATTCTCAGAAATGTAAGTTAAATAAAATTAAAGATTTAGACCTGGTCAGCCATATAGGTTACGCGGGTACAAAATCGTAAGGAAAGATATGATTCCTAATCTCAGATCAAAGAGTGGAGTTGCGATCATAGTAAAAGATGACGTACAGTTCAAACCACTACCATTGCAAACAAATTTACAAGCTGTAGCAATTGAAATAATGGCTCCCCTAAAAATCGTTATGTGTAACATATACTTATTATATTATTATATATACTTATTATTACCTGATAGAAATTGGCAGCAGCATGAACTGCAGAATCTTATAGATCAAATGCCAGTCTCGTATCTGCTAATGGGTGATTTTAATTCCCATAATTCCCTATGGGACTCATCTCATACAGATGCTAGAGGACGAGACCTGAAGCAATAATAGATAATAATCAACTGGCAGTATTAAACAACGGTAGTCATACTCACCTGTGCGCGATCCGGAACTTTTTCGGTGATCGATCTTACCATAGCTTCTCCACGCGTTGCAACACTATTCTCCTGGAGGATATTAGATGATCTTCATCACAGCGACCATTTTCCAATTGATATCGAAACGCACACACGAGAGGCACCTGCAACACGTCCGATACGGTGGAAGATTTCGGAAGCTCGTTGGGATCTATACAGATATCAATTGGAGCTAGGTGTATCACAAAATACACTTCCACGTGGCTTAAAAGAAATTACATCTGCCATCTATAATGCGGCTAATCTTGCCATACCAAAAACAAGCGGGACCCCCGTCAAACATCGAGTACCCTAGTGGAATCGGGATGTCAGCGAGGCAGTCAAAGCCAAAAAGAAAGCATTTAATAAATACATTTCATAGATATCCCACAAATGAACACCTTATAGTTTTTAAAAAGGCAAGAGCAAATGCCCGTAGAACGATTCTTCAAAGTAAAAGAGCAACTTGGAATAACTATACGTCAACAATTACCCACCAAACTCCTACTAAACAAGTATGGCAAAAGATTAAAGCAGTATCGGGAAAGAATGCTATTACAATACAACTGCAAATTAATAATAACCAAGTGACAAGTCAACCAGAGCAAACTGCTGAGCTTCTAGCAGACCAATTTCAAAAAGCTAGCAGTACGGAAAATTATGAGCCACGATTCTTAGCACATAAAGCTAGGAACGAAGTAGACCTCAACTTCACACACTTGGAAGACTTCGACTATAATCACTCTTTTACAATGATTGAGCTCGAAACGGCACTCACGTGCAATAAATCTTCCTCTCCTGGGCCAGATCTTATAACTTACGAGATGTTAAGGAACCTCTATACGGTATATAAGACCCTACTCCACCGAGGCGTATATCTAACCTGCTGGAAGGAAGCGATCGTGATCCCTATTTTAAAAAGTGCAAAAAATCCGTACCTGGCCTCAAGTTACCGACCGATCAGCTTAACTTCATGCATAGCTAAAGTGTTTGAGCGCATGGTAAGCTATCGATTAATGTGGCTGCTTGAAAAAGAGGAACGCTTTACAAGCTGCCAGGCAGGATACAGAAGACACAGATCAACCGCTGATCATCTAGTACACCTACAAAATAAGATACTTGAAACCTTCTCCCATAGACATCACGCAGTTGCAGTCTTCTTTGATGTTGAAAAGGCATTTGACATGACGTGGAGACACGGAGGGTTGCAGACGTTGGGGTTTGAAAGGAAACCTACCGAAACTTATCTCCTCCTTTCTACAAGATCGACAATTTCGTGTTAGAGTAGGTAATACGCTTTCTACGTCCAGAACGTTAGAAAATGGAATACCGCAAGGTTCTACCTTAAGTGTGGTATTATTTGCTATCGCAATCAACTCCATTACTGCCTCCATTTCTGACGATGTAAGCACATATCTATACGTCGATGACCTAACGCTTTTGTATTCAGGACCGAGTATGGGGGAAATTAATAGAAAAATGCAACAGGCGATTGACAGTGTCGTATTAAACTCACATAAATGTGGCTTTAAATTATCAGTCGATAAATCTTACTGTATGCACTTTTGTCGATTAAGAAAACCACGTGACGGCCCAATGCTCCTCTTACAGGACAGGTATATTGAGTGCAAACCAACTGGTACATTTCTTGGTGTGCTGCTGAACTCTGCACTAACCTGGAAGATACATATCGATAATTTAATTACACGTTGTAAGAGTGTCAGCCAACTCCAAATGGGGTGCTGAAACAGAAATTTTGTTACGAATGTACAGAGCACTCATAAGATCAAAGATAGATTATGGTTGTGAAGCATACTCTTCTGCTTCAAAAAGTACTGTAGCGCGGTTGGACTCAATACAGAACAGTGCTATTCGGTATTGTCTAGGTGCATTTTATACCAGTCCTAGTGTTAGCTTAGCCTGCGAATCTGGAATTCTACCTCTAAGCCTACACCGACAATACAGAATTCTAAGTTATGCATGTAGAATAAAAGCACAACCAAATCATATGAACTATGATATCATGTTTAGTAACGTAAGACCACTAAATGACTGGAGAAGATTACATAAACCCATTTGGTGGAATATTCAACACATCCTCGAATTAATAAATGCTTCCTTACCACGCATGTTACCATTAAAGCCACTTGAGGTTTCTCCCTGGAAAGTGCCTGACATTAACGTCAGAATAGATTTAACAGTCCATGGCAAGGAAGAAACTTATCAATCTCTCTATCTTCGAGAATTTAACAAAATTGTCAACTCTTATCAAGATTATATGTTTCTCTACACCGATGGCTCAAAAACGAATATGGGTACTGGATCTGCCTTTTCTACTGATGACGCTGAGTATGAATGGTCAATGGGAATCCACGCATCTATATACACAGCTGAGCTGTATGCAATTTGGCAAGCTCTCCGATATTGCGAATTGCATACAGATAAAAATAAATTTGTTATTATAAGCGATTCACTGAGTTCTTTAGTCAGTTTGAAAAATCCATATTCAAAACATCCATTAGTACAGATGATACTATCAACACTGAAACATCTTGCAAACCTTGATATCCTTGTTACATTCCTATGGGTCCCTAGTCATGTAGGTATAAGCGGCAATGAAAAAGCTGATCGTGCTGCACATCGAGCAGCTATAGAAGCGGGAAATGATACAACAGATAAGGTCTGGATCTCTAGTTCTAGCGACATTAACAAATATCTGAAAAAGAAAATAAATGTATCATGGCAACAAACATGGCAACAGTACAATACTCACCTAAATAGAGTTCAAATGACAATTAATGGGTGGAGAGCACCATTATCACTTCCTAGAAAAGACATCACCGTTCTACATCGGTTAAGAATAGGACATACAGCAATAACACACAAGCATTTATTAACAAAAGACCCACCCCCAGTGTGTGCCAACTGTACAGTACCTACCACTGTTGAACATATTATATGTATATGTCCACTATATGCACCTTTACGTCAAATGTACTCGATATTTGATAACTTACCTGATAATATAAGAAACAAAGAAAACATAAATAATCTTCTACAGTACCTAAAGGCTGCGAATCTCCTTGAGAAGCTGTAATAATGAACTCTAGATGGCGCCAAAGACCTCAGCAGTTAATGCGCCGTAATTCATATTAAAAAAAAAAATGTAAAGAAATACAAACCTTGACATCTTTCTCGTAACAATAATTTCTGTTGAAGTACTTAACCAACGACACAAAACAAAAATTTAAATTAAGAAAATTAATTACATGGAAAATAGGAAACCGCCCTTGTCCATCCTAGTTAAGAATCCCAAAATTTCGTCCTGCCAGACGAAATATCACAGCAATATTTAAACAACATACAATGTTAAATAAATATTTAATTTAATTTTATCCCTCTCTTGTTTTTGGGCCCTCAACAGGCATGCGCCCAATTACAGAGTGACCCGCATAATGCTATTTAGAGGTGCCTCTGCAGAAGGTCTTAAGATGGTCTATACTACTCCGGTATTTACCTTACGAATTAGAAAACCTAATTCGGAGTAGCCGGTAGAATGCTCGGAACTGGTCTAAGGTAATTTCCATCTCCGCCACAGATGAAAAATTCACCTCAACCCAGGTTCGAAGACCCGACCTCCGGATTTATAACCCAATGCTCTACCAATATGTAGTAAACATGTATTCAATATTTGGTGCTACTATAGGGTCAGTCATATTGGTTAAAATTCTGCTCTTCTTGGAGGATTTATCGATCAGATAAGTCTTGCGTATGTCGCCAAAGGAAATTCTCTTTGTTTCCATCAAAATATCTCCAGTAAGCAAATTGTTTCTAATGCTCTTAAAAAGGTGGGGTGTATCAAAGATGACAATCACTTCAAAATCGTCCACAATAAATGCAGGGGTTTGAACAGTCACGCCTAACATTTTATAAGCACTCTGGTTGCTTATTGTGCCTTGATCGCAAATTAAGACCTTTGGTAACAAACCCACGGTTATTAATTTTTTAATTGCAATTTGAGTTAATTTTACTAAATCAGAGCATTTAAACCCCAGTTTGTGACAAAAAGTATCCATTGGACATCTTCCATGGGGAATACATCCCACGGATCATAAACATCATGGCGTAGTTGGTTTGTACTGGTTTTCTTCCTAAAGGCCTAAATCCCCAAAACCTTCTATCAAATCAAGATCCTTGGAGTATTCTAAGTTGCTGTGGATACTCATTTCGTCGAACAAAAGAGCGGGGTTAACTGGACAGTTTTTTGGAAAATTATTGACATTTTTGGTTTATTTAATTTTTTAGTCAAATAGATGGTATTTTCACAGTAGCTAGAACTGTTAGCAACGTTGTTTTACTATTTTGCATAGAAAAAAATTCTATACATTTTATATAAATAATTTTGGAGGACCGCTAGAAATGGTTCATTTAACCTACCATCCAGGTTAAGTAAACATCTATAGTGGGTTATGTGAACATGACGTTTAATTAATGCAGTTGTTACATGTTTACATATGTATTTTAATAATTTTTAGGAAGTAGTGAAATCATAGTCATGGAAATCAATATAAAATGTCAACATATTAGCATATCTTGCGCTCAAATTTTCACTTGGAGGAGAAAATTTTGAAATAACGTCTTTCTGTAATACATAGGCAAATTCTTCAATGATTATAAATTTATTTGTGCAATTGTAACGCTTAAGAAACTGCACATCAAAACCTTTGCTATTTTTTGCTATAATTTTAGCCACATAATGTATGAATTGTGAGGCAGTTTTACCAAAGATTTTCACCAAACAATAGTTTCTAGCTTGTATGTCATCTTCTGTTGTGTCCTGATTATTCTGTAACGAATCAGAATCATCCACTGAGTAGTCTTCATCAGATTCAGATTGTCGAATTTTCATCTTCTATCAGACGTTTTGTCACTTTACGAACCGCAGCTGGTTTTTGTGACGTTTTCTTTTTTTTTTCGCGTAAATTTGCTTCGATTTCCAGAGAATTTTTTTCGGGTGCACTTGTTAAAATACAGGATCTTCCTTTCTTTCGTTGTGAAGTTTGTGGCTGCAATGTGGTGGCAGTGTGAGAAGAATAATATTCCATTGCTTTTGGTAAAGTTTAAAGCAGCAATACTTAGATGACTCTCATGGTTGTCTAATATTAAGAGCTTTGGATTTTCTGGAGTTGGTCTCTCATCCTTTGCAAAATGCTGAAGTACATGTAAAAACAATGTACTATTCATCCAGCCACAAGGAGTTGCCGCGCCTTGGCTACCAACACGAGTGTTGTTGATCATATGATCCTTAAAATTTACCCGGGGAAATACAAAAAAAGGGGGTACCTACATATTTTCCAGAAGCTCCTATAATCCCAACTATTGTAGTAAGGATACCTCGCTCTGCTGATGTCATTTGGCAAACACTTCTCTTTCCTTTTTTAGCTAAGACTTTTGGAGGCTTGTGTACTGTCGTAGCTGCGGTTTCGTTCAAGTTATATATATCTACTGCCTGTAAATTGTATATAGAAGTATATAAACAATGTAGTATACCGTTAGAGTGCACGAGTCACACATTTAGAGCCCACCCTGAACAAAAAATTTTAAGAGATTGTACTTCGCGCGCTGCCAATGCGCAGTCCCCCAACTAACCGTCCTGCTCTCTTCATTACTGTTTGTGTGCACGCGCAATTCACACGTAAAAGTTTTCACGTGACGTTAAATTAAGGGAGAAGATTAAACGCCTTAAGAAACGGATGAAACGATGTAAAGTAAAACGGGATTTAGCGAGGCCGGGTCGGTCTCATAAACGCGGGGTAAGATACAAAGGCCGCCGCCATTTGCATAGCAGCGCCATAGACAATGGATCGTTAGGTTAGGTTAGCTGTATTATATAGACAGGCAACTCAAATAAAAAAATTGGGGCATTGAAAGCGCCACTCCGTGTCTGGTTGAATAATTACTAAGCATCCCGCTCCCGCCATTAATTTGAATTCAAATTAAATTTCATTTTCTTGAGTTGTCGCACTCCTGCGCTAAACCATCACGTAACACGAAATTGACTAATATTTACATATTAGACATTAGTCAATTTAGTGTTAGCGGATGGTTTAGCGTAAGGGTGAAGACAATTGTAATATTTATATATTAAACACCAAACACTATTAATTTATTACACTTTTAAGTAGGTACTTGTTTTATTTATAAATATATAAGTAAACCTAAATATCCAAAGCTTAAGAGATAGGACTGTTATTCACAAAGTAATTAAACTAAATAAAGTTTTCTAAAACGGCGGTAAAGCTGAATTTATAGTTAACGTACCTGTAACACAGTACCGTGTCGTTACCAATTGAAACCTTACGTGTTGCACATTGGCATTTATAGCAGTGGTCGGAACGATACTACGTACCAAAATATTTTCGTATGCTTTAAATCTTTTACTTTTAGCGTTGAGTGAAGAAATGTCTTTTAGGTAGTACTAGATCTATTCGTTGAGTACTGCTCACATGTCGGGCTCTTTGAGGAGGTAGCGTAAATCACCAAAAGTTGTCAATTCTAATGTTTTTCGATACAACACTAAAAAAAAGTATTGCTATATTGATTTCAATACTTTTTTTAAAAACATATCGCAGTACTTCGATCGATAATCATTAAGTATCGTGACACATTTATCGCGATATTTCTGGCCACTGATTATAGTTACGCTTAAAGTACTATTACAAACGTTAAGGTAAAAATGTGCAGGAATTTGCCATTAGAGTGAAAATTCTCACATTCTCACCATGGTTTGTTCAAATATTGTTAAGAAAAGATGCGGCATATACATGAAATTTATAAATAATAAACAGAATGGCGGATAGCCTGTGCAATGTACACGTGACACTCTCACCATTATGAAAACTATAAATAGTACTTAATTCTTAAACTTAAATGTATTAAAGTTCTTACGAAAAGGGAACTATAAACCCAGCTTAAACAACCTAAATATAAGAACCTTAAAGATAGGATTGTTATCACAGTAATTAACACACACAAACTTAGTAAAACTTAGCTTATTCAATTGTTAACATATTTACAAAAGCACCACCTTCAACATACACATCAAGTTGAAATTTCTAAATGTTTTAAATCTGCCACCCTTTTTTTAATTTTTTTATTGATTTCATAAATATTCATGGCTTGTATTTTGATCGGGTCTTTTGTGAGTACATTCTCACTCCTGCCTTTTAACATTTTGTTTATATTTTTAGCCCAAGTAAGAGAATGAAAAAGGCTTATTTTCTCACAAATTATATCGAACAAATCATGTTCCTGACATATGCAAGTGAAACTTAAATTTTGTTTTAAGATTACCTTTAAAACGCATTTTATATTTTGCTTGTGACATACTTGCGGCAAAATCTCAGTAAGTATATGAATGGCAGTTTGAAATAGTGTATTAAACATTATTGAAGGAGTTGTCAATGGGCGCCTATTTTCTATCTGATATTCTTGAATAATAAATCTCTCTTTCAAAGATAATTCATTTAACGACCCCACAAGCTGTTTTTTACATAACACACAATTGTTTATTTGTTTTATAATACTTCTCACAACACTTCCTGCAACATATGTTGAAGTGGCAGTTCTTTGTAAGGACTGGTCACTTAATTCACTTGATAAATTAACGTCTGGTACTTCGAAATGCACATCTGATGTTTGTTGTGGAACACTAATCAAACTTTTAAAGGAATCTAACACTGATGAATCGTCTTTTTCACAATTGGCACTAGGTGAATGTACAGAGGTTAAATTATTTAATAACAAAGTTCTAAATGAATATGTAAAAGATTGGCAGGTTGGATTAATGTTCCGGATACCGTGGCTTCTAATAGCTCCAAAAAAGTTTTCTAGAGGATCTTGATTAATATTCCGGCAGGATAAATAGGTGACACCTTCTTTTTGGAATTTCTTCCATAAATACCGAAACCCTTTTAGGGTGTGCACCCAATTATGAATTGTTGGGGGTTTGTACTTGCTGCCATTAGATCGTAAACATCTCATAGATTCAAAAACTTTTAAAGCTTCAAGCCAGAAGTCGAAATGTGGAGAATCCTTGCTAACTGCACATCTGAGTCGGTTCTCTTGCACATACTTTGACCCATTTACGCTATCAAAGCATTTATCCATAAAAAGAACCAACTCTGCAGTTTCTGTAGCGTTAGTAGGTATGTTGTGTGGTGCTGCAAAAAAAATATTTGTATTTAATTGTTACAAAAGTACTTGCAGATGCAAATCATATATGGGTACTGTTACGTAATGTTTGATAGTAACAATTAAAAAAGTGATCAAAGACTCTGTATTATTTTAATGAATCTAGTTTGAAAAAATAGGTAAATTAAATATTTAATAAATTAATAAAAGAATAAATAAACCGAGAAATAAATCAATTCATATACTTACACAGACGTGCTAAACCACGTAATAGAGAAGCCACTCGCTTACTGAAAATTTGGGCAGCATACGCAACTTTCATTTTTTTTCGATTTTGAATATGTAGATTTGTGATTTTATGAAGCATTCTATAATCTGTGTCTTCTTCTACTTGATCAAGGGAAACAAGGTTGGCAATATACTCCCATTTGGCCGTCATAGTTTTTCCCCTTTATTTCATATTCAATATCGTGGTCAAAAAGCAGGTTCCGCATACATTTTAATAAATGTGGAGGGTCATAAAGGGGCACAATTTCCTTATCATTCACTAAAAAACCAAATAATCTATTTTCTTGATCTCTTGACTTGAAAATTCTATTTGTCTCTGAGTACAATAAATTTATAGCGGACCTATTAGGTGCTCCTTGATCACAAACTGTGCCAATTACTTAAAATCCAGCGCTTTGTGCAGCTATGATGTTGGTTTTTAAAGTATGAGCTATCATATCTGATTTCATGCCTCCTTTATTAAAATAAAAAGAAAGAGGCTGCTTCCATTTTTTAAAGAT